ATAACAAGATTGATGATACAAAACCTGATAGGATGAAAACATTACTTTCAAACCATAATTTCAATTCATAAAGCACAATGAAATACATTTACCATCATCATGTTAAGAATAAGACATATAAATATATCTCCTAATGACAATGACTGTGTTTAGGAAACATTAACCAGTGCCTAAGTTTTCAGGTATACATCGCATGGAAAAGAGAACTTAAAGGCTTACACATGTCTATGTTAAGGCATGGTAGTTTTGAAGATTAAGAAAAAAGTCTTAAAATGAAAGCTTTGGCTACTTCATATGCTATAAAAGCCTGTTAAATAAATGACCTTTAAAAGAAAGGTTCCAGCATATCCAAGAGTTTAAAAATGCCAATGTTATTAAAAAAAAAAACTCTTCTTTTGAAACTAGAATATCTCTTCTCAACTTCATTAAGAAATAAATCCATGACTTACACACTTTTTATTAGTAAAAAGATTACCCAGTCAGGGCTGGGGATATAGCTCAGTGGTATACCACCTGCCTAGCAAGAGCAAGGCCAAGTTTGATTCCTGGTACCAAAAAATAAAAAAAATTTACCCAGTCACGAGTTACACTGAATACTGAATTAAAATGAGTCTCAAAGTCTTCCCCCGCAAAGTGACCTTGAATCAACTGATTTACCACAGCCAAACCTCCTCTGTCAGCCAACTATCACTAGGTTTCTATGTTCAAACGTCACACTGTTTACTACCTGATTACATAAATCCTCCAAATTTAAGCCTATTACAGTTGGGTTATTCTTCCTGTTTTATCAAAACAATTTAGCAGGTTTTTAAAATTACCATAGCAAGTGTCCTTCAAATTTGCTTGCTTCCTGCCAAAGCAGCCAAGGTAGTAAAATAGAAAGAATAAGCAATGAGGCCAAGATCCTAAGATTTCTTAATCACAATGCTTAGGGAAGAAATAAACAAAGACCCATGACATCATATCTATTTCTGAATCTGTTTTCATGACTAGAAGTCATGGCAAGTTGAGCGTCATGTGAATAATATTACCACATTTATTCCTAAGTCATTTACATTTTTTTCACATTACTAAGCCTGTTATTAAGAGTGTTCCTGTGCAGCTCTTATTCAGCTCCATTTCTTCTCTTACCTAATCAGTTTCAATGGTTTCTTTCCAAGACTCAAGAGAAAGAGGAGTTTTTAAAAAACAAAATCAGAAACCTTGTAAGAATGCCTTCTATCTAGGTCAAACTCAACTTGTAACCCTAAATAACGTTAATGAGGTGTCGCTATAAACACATAAAGTCCTTTTTTCTAGAGGGCTTATTTTCCAAATTTTTTCATCAAACTGATCTCTTCAAATTACACAGGCACCATGACAGAGGAATGCATACTTGCATAAAAGGGCACTTGTCTTAGCTTCCTAGAACTCTCTAACTTAAAAGACTCTAAATAGGAAACTCATTAAAGTGATAAAGTTAGTTATTTGTTTGGTTATACCGTACAGATCTCATTTAAGACCCATTTCTTCTGGATGTCATTAAAAAGTATCAATAAGGTATGTATGTGGTTAAGTAAACCATCACTTCTATTCCACTCATTATTTATTGAATAAAAGCAAAACATTCTCATAAGGCCAATATATAGTCACAAAAAGTGCACTCTCATCCCCCTTTTTTCTTTCAGGTCCATTTGCAGGAGGTAACCACAGTTCACCAATTATATAATGTAAGCTTCCAAACATATTCAAAGCATGTAAAGTTATGTTAACTAATCAAATATGTAATTATTTTCCACTTTCTTATATATGTTAAAAAACGAATACTCAGGCCAGGCGTGGTGGTGCACACCTGTAATCCCTGCACTTGGGAGGCTGAGGCAGGAGGATCGCTGTGAGACCAACCTGGGCTACACAGTGATTTCCAGGTCAGTCTGAACTACATAGTGAGACCCTGTCTCAAACAAACAAAAAAGAATGCTTAAGTGCATATATACTGAAATTTGATATTTAAATGTATCCTTTCCATTAAAAATAATTTAAAAGGCAACAACGATAAGGCTGATAGGTCATAAACACGTTCTGATACAAATTTCAAAGTCAGTTCCCCCACCAGAGGCCGGAACAGTAAGAACTGTACCAGGGAGGAGGCTCACCAGGAAGCTTCAAGAGGGAATAAACATTTATGATTTAGAACTATTCACATTTCCATTTTCAAAACGACTACCTTGCCGGTTCTCCATTATTTCCACTCCATCAACAAAAGTAAACTCAAAAATAAAATTAATATGGCTTTTCTAGACAGAATCCATGTTTTCCTAATAAGGAAAAGCTGAAACGAGGCTAAGAGGGTATCCTCTATTGGCCCAGCGTAACCAGAGGTCATAACTATAGGTTTCACATCTTGAACAAATTTCACGGACAGGGAGAACGTTCAATCAAATTAAAGAGCCAGCTAAAGAAAAAGGAGGATGTCATTTATAATTGTCTGCTCCCACTGTCCATTATAAATGTTTAACACACGAGCACAAGTTTTGGGGTGCCATAAATCCTGGAGGAAAGTTTTCTAAGTGCCTGTTCTTAATCATCTTTAATAAGTAAGTGGTATATTTATACAATAACTGGTATATTTACTTTTCCAATGAACAATGGAATATCATTCCGAGGATTAGAGTGGCAACCGGGTGGGCAAACACCTAATCACTAGTATTTACCTGATGTGATAATGTCTGGTCCAACACTCGACTCCACAATCTATAAAAAAATTACTAAATGAGATGACTCCCTACTTCAGTACTGCTGGATATAAGTTTATAGTGTGGCTTGTCTCATAGAATGGACTAATTGGAGTCGTTTTTCTTCTTAGTTTTATGATTACTAAGTGTAAATCCATATTCAGTAAGCACCTAACCATCCAGGAAAAGCTTTTTCCTGCTTTGCTGTGAGGATACAACAATCCCCCTAAACTTTCAGGCAACTGCAACCTGGGCTCCTCATCACGCCCGCCTACCCAGGGCTCCCAGCAGACCTACAGAAGGCGTCACAAAGAACACCGCGCTTTCCGGGTCTGCTGGAGGAGAGGGCAGTGGGGATAGGGATTCGTGGCCTCCGCAGGTGCCAGCTCGGGGTAGGACTGAGCCTAGGGAGGGGCGACGCCACCGCCCGGAGGCCCGACCAGGTGGACACACGGGACGCAAGCCACTCGCGCGTCTCTGCGCCACCCGGGTCCCTTGGTGCAAAGACCGGCCGCGTGACGCCAGAGCCAGCCGGAACCGGCCGGACTTCCTGCACTCCGCGAATTCCATAATGGAGCTGGGGGGGTCACAGGCGACCGGGGGCAGCGAGGTCGCAACCCGAGCTCGGTCCCACCCTGAGTCAGGGACAGAGTCCGGACAGCTGGCGGCCGCCTCCGGGGGGCAGCTCTTTTCCCGCCCAGCTCCCGGCCCCCTGACCCGGACATCCTAACCCACCACCCA